TCATTCATGAGGCGACACTTGGATCTTCAAGAGAATTGATGTATTCTTCATTTCACGCACTGAGTGTGGACCTAAACTCTTAAACGATCAGTCTTGCGAACATTATGCCTTCAGTTAAGCCTGTTTCCACTCGACCGCAATCAACTTGTCTTACGACATATTACACTCGTTTTCGCCAATCTCGATTCTTTACGATGACCTCTCGAAGTGGCTTGTAGTGGTATTGGTTCTAACCACACAATCCTCAAGGCTGAACATGAGATAACTAGGAAGAAAGACATTTAACGTTTAACACGGACGGAAGCCAATATTAGTGAGCGCGGAGATATTCATTCGGTTGGATGACATGACTGGTCTTTGCAGACGTGTATAACCTGTCTCAACTCATGCCAAATATATCATTCTATCTTTGGCCTAAATGTATTCTTTACAAAGACCAAACCTTATGTAGTGGATCGCTATCATACGACGAGTTAAAATAGAAAATGGTGAGACCTTTACATGAGAGCTTATGGATTAGGTTTTCACACCGTGAAAAATTTAAAACTTTAGAATTAAGTCTACTATTGGAACAGTTTTGATAATGAACTAGACCGTAATTCTACAGACTCTTCAAAGTACATCTCGAATCTAAATACAATATCATCGATAAAAACGGAACTAACGACAACGTCTTAAAGCCGAGTATTTATAAGGAAATCCTAATAATGTGGATTTTCTTCCTCTACACCTAAACGACTTGAGCCTCACAATTAAACACTTCACTCGATAATCAACAACCACGATGAAATTTCGTAGATATCTGACAACCGGACTAAAACAACGCGCTCTGGAAGAAGACCAGGTTTTTCAGAGCACTTAAACGACTACGTCGTGTAGGACAATGCATAACCTTTTGTTTCATCTCGCCTGTTTGCATTGCTACGTCAAAAAAAACGTTATTTTCTATACTGTGCTTATATATTTGTGTATGTATACTTTTCTTTGAAAACAATTTTTAATAAATCGTTGTGTAAATTTTTTCACGCTATCGCGTGTTATCATTATGCATGTATACTTGCATTTTTTTCGTTTTCGGCAAGTTTTGTATCTTCACACACTTACGGGTGTATTTTTACATAAACTTACCATTTCCTCTCTTTTCCAGGACGAATGGAATAGATAAAAAGCGGAAAAACACAATTGATATAAATTTTCAGTGTGCTTTTTTTGCACTGCTATATTATACCACATGGCCCTCTATATTAGGAAAAGATGTCCAGATGCCTCTGGACATAGGAAACTGTCAGAGAAATTCTACCAATGAAAAGCCCGTTGGGTTTAAACTTCTATATGTCCATGTCACACGGTCATCAATACCTAACAATTGATCATTTGTAGCGCTAAATGAAGGTTGGTTGACCCAACTTAATACAAATTAACCAAAAGTCTCACTTCCTGTACAAAATCTGGTTATCCCTTACTCAATAGTTGTTGATGCATACTTTTAACTAACTGTAATGATGATGATGAATAGCAACGTAGCATAATTTGCTCATATTGAATTTATGAATCTTAAGTCAATGATTGCTAATTGACTAGATCTCTACATAGTAGTTATTATTGTACTTGTAAGTGACTTTGAATAAAGAAAGCATTATAGACATACTGCATTTATTCTGGCTTTGGTCCTCCTAGCGGACACTAGTAGCTGAAGCCGGTCGGCTAAACACCCTGTTGTATACAGGCATAGCTCATGTGGTACCTCCCATCTCCATCTCACCAACTTGAGGTTTCATCTCACTCCAAAGTTATCCGAATTCTAATCCACTGTTCCTACTGCTTATCAACACCCTCTTCGAAACACTGTTCGTTAAATATTCAAAAACAACATTGATTGGCTCTGCTGTATAATGTTGCTGAGCCCGTTACTTGATAACCTGAAAAGCATGACATGAGTACGCCTCTTGTGTTAGTCTATAAATATGTATATAAGTATACATAAATTGGTCTTTACGTTCTGATATACACCGTTTAAGCTCATTGTGACTGAAGAAACTCTAAAACCAAGTCAGTGAAAACTGCTATAGCATCACCCTACAACTTGTGCTCGAGCACGCTAATACAAAAGCGAAGCTCTTCTATCGAGAGAAAAAATTTAGAGAATGTTGGGGAAGATTATGTACCGAATTTTCTAAGCTAATATTCGATAGATGAGGGAAACAAAACGATGTGTGACACCTAAACTGTTCAGGTCTGATATTCTTACGAACTACTTGAGAGATATATGATTAATAGAAGAGATCCGGTTGATCGGCAAAGATTAAATTGACTATTCCATAGTAATCATCTAAGACATTGTTTGCAACAGAAAAGAATGGGAAGAGGTTGTTGGACAACCGTGGTCTTGTTACGCTTTTAAGTGACAAGTTTTGCCATTCCATCTATTACAGCCTGTCCCTCTACAGAATAGAATACGGAGGCCACAAGAACCTACCCACTAAAGTATGCCTAATCATGGAAAAGCCGCAGACATTACACAAAGAAAAAGTCGTTCTCCGGTTTCCTTCTCGTTGCTTACAAAATAATACTGAACTGCAGCGAACTCAACGTATAGAAGTCTCAGCTAAGAGATTATTTTCATGACGAAATTAAAAAAATGAGAGTTCTGAATGTTGTTAGTACAGTATCACATCGATGGAGCGTCTGGAACATGCAGAAAAATCTGTAATTACTACTAAAGCTTAGAAAAACCACTACGCCGAACGTATTGACAGCAAACTTAACTGGTGGAGATAGAGGCGTGTTAGGAATCATATACGTAATAAAAAATTCAGCCTAGCCGCCGATACTAGAGCACGAGTCGGATTGCTTGCCGCAACTTTACATGACCATCAAAACGAAGTTGTCTGCAGTTAATGGATAACTAAACGTTGTGCAGGATGACCTGTAGGTTCATTCCAAAGAGGTTTTACATAAAGCGACACACTAGATTCTCGTTAAACTGGACATTTCTTCATCCACTCGGACAAATACTAATTAAGTGTCTGAGCATTATCACAGTAAATGTTTTTCAGAGTTCAATGAATCCAACGCTCGAGCATTTTTTTCGTACACTTAATGAGTGCTGTAAATAAAATAATCATTTTCACTGAAGATTCGGTTGTAAGCTTTAAAGTTCGCTTTGTTTAATTTTTAAATCTTGCAAAATGAGATGTATCATAAGGGCAAGTTTACACATAGCATAAGTGCAGATATATACACATAACAGAAGAAAATCCCCTATTAATACTCACTGGCCAGGCGAGAGGAAGAGGAGAAAAAACGTCAGATATTGTACTTTAATTGAATAACAAAAATGGATGGTTAGCCACACACTTTGAACATCACAACTTACTTATAGTCAATTTAGACTGCGTAAACACTGATCATTATCCATATATATCTGCCAGTCCCTTCACTCCTGCCTTCTGGGTTAATGTTTTCCAGGACCCTCATATTAGAAGTCCCGGAGGACAGTGTTGTTAAGCATTGTATACCTGTGACGTCATTCAACATATTCGACCGCATGCTTAACTTCAGAATAAGTTATCCCCAAATACTTCATGGACGCACCTATTGCACACGGTCCCCGAGAAAAGTAGCGATGATTTGTGTCCTACATGTAGTCATAAAGGACAACAAAAAGCTACTTTGTACAGTCGCTCAGCGCCGTATCCGCAACTTGGTTGTTATGCGGAAATTCCTTAATAATTTTTTGAAACTAGATTTAGAACCAGATCTCTGTGCCTTATAGTTATACCACTAAAATAGCTATTAAAAACTCATGTGTTCTCTAGAAATATTCCTTAAGTCATTCGAACTGAGAAGTGCGACCTACATTTTTCAATGGTTTGTCGACCACGTATCCCCAGGCTTTTATTTACCGCATGCATATGCTGAAATTTTTTTGATTACAAAATTGGATACATCAATATACCGAAATCACTATTTTAAGTCCAAAAAATTTCAAAATACTGGAATATCGTAAACATTCAGAAATGCAAATTGTAACGAAATCATAGGACATTCCCGACCACTTTTTTGATACCTAAAGTATCTGCCTTAAAAAAGGCAATTATTCTGAAACAAAATTAGGATTGTAGTCAGGTTTATCCGTACAATGTAACAATTCGAACTCCAGAAAAGAGTTTATATCCTTTCCTTGTAGAATCAATGGTGATGTAAGCAAAATGTGATCCTACAAGAAGAATTGAAACAACTTTCTGTTATAATTAATGTTCCCAACCAAACATAAACATCTAACTACGAAAGTCCTCAATAACATTGGATCAATCATAACCGGCCAAATTAAATAGGTTTGTGTAGATGTGAACATTGTATTATAACAATCCTTTATGACCATCAATTCGTCCAGACATTCTAAAAACCAACTATTTTACAGCTGATGATAACTCTCTTCTCCTCAGACCTAATCAGTCAACAAGAGGGTAGGAAACTGTCATTGGATCAAACGACTGCAATTCTTCTCATTACGAGCCCACTGTTATGGAACTCTGGATCATTTATGACGACAGGAATCATGATAGTGAAGTTAGTTTATAATTGGTCGAAAACGTAGACCCCATAGTTAGCTACGATTGTATCCCTTAATTGTACATTGAAAATACGCTGAACGGTATGTCACAAGCAGACAGTCAATATAACAAACTGTACCAAAAAAACCCCCCACCATTTTCAGACTTTTATGGAACCCATAGTTAAGCCGCAATTAGAACGGATCGCTTAATCTTAAGATAAGTGTTTTTCCTTAGTTCGTGGATTATTTACTAGTGAAAATCCATTTGACGAAACATAAAGTATGAAACGGTTTGTTATAACTTATATGAAAACAAAAATGTTAAATGCTGAAACTGCCTTCGTTTTATAAGCTATATAAATGAGTGTGTAAGATCTTTGTTTCAGCTTGCAAATAAAGATCGCAAGCAGAAAACGCATATAGAAACAAAGGCTTTAAAAATACGTTTAGAACGTATGTATTTACATACAATCAAAATTTCATAATATGAGCAAACACAGAACTAAATCTTGGTTTTATCAATTAGTACATATTGATTGCATTATTGGAACGAGGCATTTTTATACGATCCAAATTTTTTATTATTATATCATGTAAGGTAGCCTGTAAATTTTTAAACAATAGAAAAATAGGCATGATAAATATTAAAATAAATTTACGTCATCATTCTTGAATGAAAAAAAATTTTCGTGTCGTAAGCTACATTCAATTGATAATCATTAATATGGTTATAAATCTCTTGTACATTGAATAATAATCAGAAATTATTGAATTTGCTATCTATTTTCGAGTTCAACATATTTTACAAATCCCGTTTCTACTTGAATACATACGTTAATAAGAGAAGATTCTATCTTGATTTTGTAACTTGTAAATCCACAACAAACATATTCGCTAATCTTAGCTACAAGGTGCCTAAGATGTCTTCTGATTAGAAAAAAAGAATTAGATGAAGACATACGTTTTTCATACTTAACAAAAAAAATTCAATCACTGGATACCACTGAATAAAATGGAAATCTTCAACAAAGTATTTTGTGAAAATGAATTGACCGAACGATAAATACATGTTATATACAAAACAGCTAGTCATATGGAAACATACTAGGAAAACAATTAATTGTCAATGTTAGACATTTACTTTGTGAGTAGTTAACTTATACTTTCAAGAAACCAGATTAAAACTTCTTATTATTTTGTTTGAAGGCACTGACCAATAACTGTAAACAAGATCTTAGACGCAAACAAATGAAATTAGATAGACAGAACATAATTTAACATTTATGCGGATTGACAACATGACGTCTGAAATAATAACAGATCTTATGCTACAGTAAGAAAATATCAGTATTATTGACCAACTACTAACGAATGATATTTTTTTGGTACAAACTACTAGAACGACGCCAATCAAGCCTTTTTTTAATAAATAGTCAGATGAGATATTCATGAGACTGACTTGAGATGAAAGTTCCACTAAAGTTATAGGTAATCATTATGTATTAAATAAATCACAAGTATAAATAAATAAATATTTGTAATATCCCAATGAGTAGAAAAATTAGATTTTCTGATGTTTCGTGACTCAGTGTAAGTCACTTCTTCAGAGAATAAATAACCAAATTAACAATAATCCAAGTTTAAATAGTACAACGAAACAATCCAAGAATAATTAGGTGATCAATCAAAAACAGGTCTGAATAAATCAATGTCACTTCATTTCATTTCGGTCAAGGTGATGCATAAGCGACATGTATGTAATTTTGTATGTATGTATGCACTGTTAATAATGAGAAATGTGTGACCTTCATAATGACAAAGGATAGAGTTTAATTTCACGAATGAGAATGAAAATGAACATGGTGAGCTACCTTTCTTAGATTGCTTAGTGAAAAGACATGAATGGAGTTCTAAATTTATCCATCTACCGAAAGCCCACACACTCTAATCGTTACATCGACTTCCATTCAGCACATCCTTTCAGTGCTAAAATCTCGTTAGCCTTAAATCTTTTTAGAAGAGCTGACAAGATCATCACTTCAGAAGAGGACAAACGAAAAGAATGTAATTAGCATCTTACAATTTAATAATTTTCCTATGAAGATTATTAGAAGTATATTAAAACAAGACAATTCAGTATGTAATAATAATAATAATAATAATAATAGATCGAATGAAATACCATGGATTGGTACTGCAGTTTTACCATACCGTCATGGCACAACTGAAGAACTCCAGAGGATCTTAAGACAACACAGAATTAAAGGATATTACAAAACAAAGAACACACTTCGAAATACTTTAGTTCGAGTAAAAGAAAAAATCCCATTCATGTCTACACAGAACTACGTCCACAAATTAGGTTGTGTCGATTGTGATGCCTTCTATATTGGAGAGTCATCTCGCGAAATCTTAACTCGCGCCAAAGAACATATCAGGTACACAAAGAAAACTCCTAATAATCCTGTAGAATTAGATAGACTTCAAATTAAATCGGCAACAGCAGTTCACGCCATTTCCAACAATCATCAAATTGATTTTAAAAATATCAAAATACTACAGAAAGGTTTTTCCAACTACAAAGAAAGAAGAGTAGCTGAAGCTTTCCATATAATGCTTAATCCCACAGCTCTCAATAGAAAGGAAGGCCTCACCATACATCCTACTTGGACTATCTATCCTAGTCACCTAGTCTGATATTATTTACAATTCACACCGTTACATTACAAATTAATCTCTATCCTTTGTCATTATGAAGGTCACACATTTCTCATTATTAACAGTGCATACATACATACAAAATTACATACATGTCGCTTATGCATCACCTTGACCGAAATGAAATGAAGTGACATTGATTTATTCAGACCTGTTTTTGATTGATCACCTAATTATTCTTGGATTGTTTCGTTGTACTATTTAAACTTGGATTATTGTTAATTTGGTTATTTATTCTCTGAAGAAGTGACTTACACTGAGTCACGAAACATCAGAAAATCTAATTTTTCTACTCATTGGGATATTACAAATATTTATTTATTTATAACAATCTACCCAATACTCAATTTATTCAAAATTATTAAATCAAAACTTGGTAATGATACCTATAAAGTCACAAGTAGTTTGCGACAACAAGTTATTATATATTGAATTTCGATATCTAAATTATTTGAAGCAATAGTATTAATGAATAAAAAATGGAAATGATTTTATTCGCATGATGAATAAATGGACATAATAACGCTTACATAGTGATTACGAATTTCCATAATAATATAACGCATTGTTATTGCTTGTTTCTCATCCATATCACGGATACATTCACGATAGTCTTCAATATGTGGATATTTTGCCACTTTACCCACTAATTTTCCTCTTGAGGCATAATATCTGTGTATACAGGAAAAAAGGCGGAAATAAAACTCAAGTATCCATAAGCACAGAAGTAAATACAGTTTGACAAAAAAAAACTAACTAAATGATAAAACAATTCTGCATCCTATGTTAGAATGATATGATTGAAACGAAGCATAAATATCAACTGAATACTGTTGTACCGACTTGAGTACGTTGATTGGCAGCCCATGTTAAAGTCACTAATCGCAATTTTAATAATAGTTTTTACTATTCTGCGTCCAATACTTCTTCTACAGCTCCTATTGGTTCATTGTACCCAAACATTTTTCAGCATATAGCAAACGTCTATGCATCACGAGAAAGCTTACAAGCAGAAATATACAAAAACGCAGTGACTTAAGCATTTAAGAACTGACGAGCACAAATAGAAACAATAACTTTAGATAAGACATCTCCGAAAGTTCATCTTTACTAATAATCACACTGTTATAATAAATATTATTATTAATAAGGTTAAATGGGCAACTAATATCTGATTAATGTAATGAACTCATTGATCAAATACATATTTATGTACAACTCGAGGCTTTGAGTCACACCTTCAATACTCCGTCATCTAGTTTTCAACATATAAATATGCATTAAAACTAGTTCATAGGAGAAGCGTCAATTTTCATGTAATATTAAACGCTTATTCTGAACGAGGAAAGAATAAAATGGAATTCCTAAAGGAAAACAATATGATTTTAAAGAAGAGACTTTTTAGGATCACAGTTGCAAATCTAAAAACTCAAATGAGTAGGTCAGCTTGTTATTATAACTTATATCAACATCATTAAAATATCTTCAACAAAAATGTAGGAAGTCTATAAACGAGGAAGGAAACCCAATGTTATATCCCCTGGTGAATTATGAATGGTAACTCCAAGGACTATTTATCGACCAATGTATTATGCGTATTTCCTATTGTACAATTGTTACGTAACTAAACGATTCATATTTGTGTTTCTCTTATCATGAGCTTTATTTTGATCTTTGATTTATTATCATACGATTCTTGAGTTATACTCAGTTATTGATTACTTTGGTTTGTATAAAAACCCATTATGTTTGTAAATAATGATTCATACCACTGAGGCTGTTATTGGTGTTTTGGACTTAACTGGCTGGGCTAGGCAGATCGCAGGATCAGTTAGCACTCTAGTCTGCTCGTACGGGTTTCGTGTCACTGTTCCAATCGAGAATTCGCTCTCCCTAATTGGCGGTCTCATCAAGTCACACATCAATTAGGCATCCACTCGGCCACAACCATAACACCCAACTTCATATTTTCAACCTGTAATGAATAAATATAACTTATATATATATATAGCCTGATCAGCTGTGGAGATTTGCTTTATCACAGAGTGATGTGTTGGACTGCAGGTGTGCACTGCTGTGGAATACTCCCAACGATGATGAGACAGCTGTTCACTACTGCCTTGTTTCAACTATATATATATATATATATATATGCAAATAGCAACAATCATAAACTGCTCTAGATAATGCTAATCCTCAGTTTGATCCTACGTGGAGTTATGAGTGGGCGCTGCCTCATACCCGGACGAGAAAGTTCAGTCCTCCCCGGCTTTCAGAGGTACCCAGGATCAGATGAATCTGTGAACAATACTACCCACAAAACTAACTGATCTCCACAAAACCACTTTGAACAAACTATAACAGTCAGCTCACCAGTGACTTACTTCAAGACACTCCTGGAGTTTAATGAGAATTTGTGAGTAGTGGAGTTCAAGCACCTCGGTGTCACCAATGGCATTAGACAATCATCATCCTATATGGTATATTGAGTGAGGCTAGAAATGTACCACTGGATGCTGACCCAGTGGTTATAATGGTTGACTGTTCGCCACGAAGCCTGAAGGTCCTGAGTTTGATTCTCGGAGGCTTGTGAGTGCACACAGCTGAGGGGCCCATACTGGGACGAAACGGTTGTCTTGTATTCCAACTGAAATCAATCTGTAATAAATACTACCTACAAATTAAACCAATCACCAGAAAACCCCTTTATATATACAGGAGAATGGAAAAAGTCGAGAATATAAACAAACCTTGTGACTTGATCCAAGAAAGTACATGCATCCCTCTCGATACCCGATGCTTCACCTAAAATCTCTTCTTGAATTCCTACACCGAAATTATTTCCATCTTCAATTCGTGGTATATTAAATTGAACCCATAAACGAACAAGTTGAGCTTCGATCATAAGTTGAGTTAAACACGGTTTAGTTTTCTTAGAAAATAGAAGTATGATAAAAACTGGTTAGTTAGACTAAACATAAAGTTCATTTCACGAGCTTTGAATCTTTTATGTTGAATTAAAGCATAAGTGTTTTACAGACGTATTGGTTTAAATATATATTGACCATTAAACTAACTCTTTCTTCCTAAATACTTAGACAACAAAAAATGAAAGTAATAATATCTAACGAAAATCTGAATCTGAAACCATTGGAATAAAACATTTACATCACTCATGATTAAATGTCGCACCGGTAGATAGAAAAATCTAAAAAATAGAGACGATACAATCATTGAAAGTTGGAGAAATTAAATAAAAGAATTATAATGGAATGCCATAAAAGAGTCTCATATCACTATAAATCATAGTTCACAGTTAAGCTGCTATAAACTTGCGATTTTTCAAAATCTAAGTGAAAATGTCTTAATTCTGTAAAGGATAATATCTACGACGCTATTGGGCAATGATGGATCTCCAAAATAACCTGTAAAGTTCAACATCTTGTAGTTTAGTTTATGTAAATTTGAATTCATCGCTTTGCTGGTTTTTAGTTTGCCTCACTTAAAGGAAAGCTGTTACCCTAGTTAGTTTGTTTATGATGCAGACGCTATTTTGTTACACTATCCCCATGGGAGTTGCAGATAAATATAAACACAAGTTGTCTGCTAAATAATCTTTCTTTCAGTTGATAGAATAAATTTTTTGGACAAAACTTTCTAGCGGATAAGAAGTCTCACTTATTGACATTTAAGTTGAAGTTAAGCTTTGCAAGCTTAGTAAGTAAATGTATGAAACAATGGAACTAGAACTATTGAAAATAGAGGTAAGTTTACTCGTCATTATCATTCAGGTGAACAATTCGAAAATAGGCAGATACAAAATACGTGCTTTAATCAGTTCTTGAGTTCTTTGAATGAATGCAGTGATAAATTTTTTTGAAATAAATTTGTATCTCTTACATTTTACAGAGTAGTTGGTATTTTTCATTGAAATAAACTGATAGCGAAGTGGTTTAAAATGCATAATGGATAGGTGCAGATTGAAAAAATAGTTTTTTTTAAAAAACTGAATACAATGTTTATTTAGTAACAGAACGATCAAACGCCCTGACACTAGGAAGTAAAGTGTAAATATGAATTATAAGCCAACTTTTTCAAGTTATAAAACAGTTCTACCGATATTGATTTCTGATGAAAAATTAAATTTCCAATTAACAATATTATTTGTTTAACATTGTTGTAACAGAAATGCTTTTTAAAAACGAAACGATTTCATAAGACGATTTTATATTTACTTTTATTACGGTGGTAGTATTGCTCATAAGATGATTATTAAAGTCTTATAGGCCTTTATCAATTATTAATTTCAAAATGAAATTTTCTTTTTTATTTTGGAAATCATGTAAATTTATAATCAGTGTAAAGCAAATTAAAAATGTTTTTAAAAAGAGTAGAATACCATTATCCTACTGGATACCCTACCATTATGCCCCCGAATGCCCTGGTACAGCCGAGAGTGGGGAGAGTCCGCTCTCCCCCTCGAAATGCTCTCACATGACCACAAGTATATAGCCTCTGCCAGGGAAATCCTACTCACTGCCTTCTCGTGGCGGGGGTGTTGTTTACGAAATTAAGAGGACGAAAAGCGAATGTCCGACGCTTTAACTGGGTCCGTGGACACGGAGAGTCCATCTAGGGGAGTTGGAAAACCCTCATTCCAAACCAATGGTGCACTTGGGCTCCAGTATCCTGAGGGAACAAATGGCGTATGAATCAATCGTTGGTCACCGGCTACCATGGGACTGCATCTCCATACGATGCTCCACTGCCTTGTGGATCAGACCTTTAGGTCCTTTAGACCTTTAGCTCCGGGTGTGGCCCCCTAAGAAAACCACCTGCTTCAGTTTGGGCACCTGGGCAAATGCACAAATCAAATGAGATTTGTGCGGCGCATATGTATTCGGTGCCCTATTGTACCAATATTTACGTGTTCAAACAAATAAATAAATAAGAATACCATTATCGGTTGATAAGTTTAACTGAACGTCTCAATGTTGTCAAAAAGTTTTGGAAAGTTAACCTAAAAGCACCAAATGAACTTGAAATGAAAATATTATTTTAATAAATGTTGACACAATGGAAAAATATTTTCGACATTCTTATAACTCGTGCTATTCTATTCGTCAATTTTAATGATGATAATATGTGATTTAATTTTCAGATCATCACAAAATAAGTTTATTAGCCATTTGTCAAAGTCCATAAAGTAATGTAGTGAAAATGTGTTGAAATGTAACGTTAAATTTCCCTCCAAACGATATTGAATTGGTCTCTCATAAGTTTTGTTTAGAAATCCCATCTATATTCAAGATAATGCGATAATTGAACTCCATAACTAAGGATATTTTGCCGACATTGAGCGTATTGACGAAAATTTAGTCACGTTTCATTTCTCTGCGAATCTTGAGAATGATGTATTTTATTACTTAATTTTTGTCTGTGTTTGAACTTTAACGACCACTGACCCCATAATTCTTCTCACTTCATTGTTTTCATCTACTATTAATGTAATGGTGTAAGGTGATATGCAACTTAACTAAATCCTATCTGATGATAGCGACTAGGCCTATTTCCTTTTTAATTATGTCAAGCAGATATACATGAAAATATAACAAATAGCGACAAAGTGTAGTTTGTCAAAAAGAAAGAATTATCTGAAATACTATCAGTATTATCTTTTAAACGTTAAATTCATCAAAATAAACACTGACCTCGATCATAGCTTTGATATGTTTATTGTATGACACAGAACCATTTGGTAAGGCGTAGACAAAAGAACCTTTACTAGGAAACTGTTGTTTATCATTGCTCATCTTATCTGCAGCATTGGATAAATCAGAATCCATATCACCACCAGAATGTAACGAATTATGTGGATTAACAGGATAAGGTACATTCACATCAGAATGGACATACTTTCCCTCTGAGCAAACGATGAATAATTGGATGACAAAAAATTTAAATAAAAACTAATTTTATTTAAAACTAAAAATACAATAAAACTATGGTCACGGTGTGGTGCGTATGTATCTGGCACCCCCTTGTACCAATATTTATGTGTTCAAATAAAAATAAATGGTCATTTGCACTGCTGAGCAGCCCAATGCTAGAACGAAACGGCCATCTATTGTTTTCAGGCTTTCAATAGTCTAAATTGGATTCGACTTGTGATTTCAATGAAATCCAACAATCTCCAAAAACCCATACTGAAAATAATGATCATGCTCGAGTAAACTTTGTAAACTTATTGATGTATATTTGTGTCAGATTTTAACATTGCTTATAACAGACTATCTTCATACGTTAAGTTAACATGAGGTAATGTGTAGTGGCCAGTGAAGCTACCCGGTTGTTCGAACCATGGTTAGTTGAAGCGAGATCTAAAACCTCGATCTACAGTTTGAAACTGAGGTGCTTTCAACACTAATTCACTGTTTCTGTAGTTTAATGTGAAAATTCAGTATATTAAACTGACTATCAGATTGATCGATGTCACACAACATATGAAGCACAGATTTCAGGTGGAACACAAAAACATATATTGCAATTGTGCAGTCGATAGAACAAATTGATAATTACTTAGTGACAGCAGTAAAAATTCAGATAGATCCAAAAATAGGTGCGATCATTGAAATAAACTAAAAGGAAGTCATTTTAAGCGTTCACACGTAATTAAATGACTTTTACTAAACTCCCCCAGCATCGATCATAATAATGTATCCCTTAGAATCGTGAATATTATGCGTTGGTAAATAGAGTTATAAAGTATAGTTGTTGATAACAGATAACTGGTTAATAAATTTAATATTGTAGGTAAAATATGCAACGTGACGTAAAAGTCACTATTTTGAGAGAAAATATTGAGATTACAAGGTAATATACAATCCGAATGATGAAAAGTTAATGTCTATGGAGCTAATGGATATCACCTAAAATGGTACATGAAGCGTTCATCTTCAAGGTTTCAGAGTCAGTCAGTCACAATGTAGAACGTAGTGTGCATGTACACCGGTTTAAGTTACAACAACCCATTAGCGCAAACATGAAATTGTCAGGTCAAAATAGTGGAGTTATTAACAACAGTACGAGTGGTGATTGTAAAGATTAGGCTTTAAATATGATTTATGGTTTCAAAAAACTTCTGTAATAAGTCCCAATACACACAAGTCCATTAAGAATATCTCTTAACATCCGGGAATGGGTGTTTAGGATTATCTTTAAAATATCCTATGTCTAAACATTACTGATTTATCTGAGGAAAAATCATTCAAAAGACTTACCTAGAAAAAACATATCCGACGCTAATATGTCTTCCATTTCAAATACACGTTTTGGAAAGACATTGAGTACTAGCTCTTCACCGTCAACTTTAGTTTTTTCTTTGTACGCATTTAATCTACCCACTTCCGTGTTCATAACGTATATCAAGTAATTCAGTAAAGTTTCTGAAGTGATACAAATTTAGCAAGTTAACAATATTGATGAATATATTAAACATAAAAAGAGTGAATAATACAAATACGTACCGCTTCCTTAGATTTGATACACAAATAAAGTAACCGGAGTTTAATGTTTACATCCAAAATCAACTGGATGATAGAAGTCTTCAAACATAAAAGGACGCTTATATTTACAGCATAAATATGTAATTAAATGGTAGCGAGTTATGATCAGTGTTTTGGGAAATAAAATAAACTTACACAGCTTTATATCCTCAATAAACAAAGATTACCTCTGATGGATACTTGAAAATCACAGAAGACAGGGTTAAAGTCGACATTTTTAATCATATAACATTAAGAATTAAATGTGAATATTCCTATTATGATAATTCGAAAAGAAAATTGTCCCAAATACGTATTTCTTGGTAATTACTCATCAGGTTTTACAAGTACAACTATTTATTTAGAATATGAAGACCGCTTTGGTTGGTAGGATTACAATAAACGTACATGAACGAGAGTGAAATAATTACATTAAATTTACTCAAGTGCTCAAGAAGTTTGTTAGAAGTTTTTGGGTATGGAGTAGGTGTTTAGGAAGTCAATAAGATTAAAAAATGTATGAATAATGTATAAAACAGGAATGACAATAATAGCAACGACAATAAAATAACAGGTGTATACATGGATGTCGAAAAAATATTAAGTAAACACTAGAAACTAGCTAAATATAAGACCTATATAGACTATTCAGATATGAATTAAGAACAAGTTAGCTGACAAATATTTAACAGACCGAAAATCCCATGTGTTGGCCAAAAGGAAAAAAAAGTTATCTTGTGTGGTATGCATTTTTTCAAAGTCAATCTAGAGTTCAGAAGAACTAGGTTTTCTATCAACCAAGCAGATAATCAGGAAGTCTACAATGTATTCCGCCAATATCCTTCACTTGTTCGAAATAGATAGAATTACTCTAGTTCTAACAACAAAATAAATGGGTGAGCACCCGCATAATAAAACCGGCATTGACAATCAGATTTACAAAACGGTAATTGAAGTTAGACATTAACACTGTTGGATGCCGGCTCAGTGGTCTATCGGTTAAGAGCTCTGGCTCGAGACTGGTAGGTCCTGGGTTCGAATCTCGCGAGTGCAGGATCGTGGGTGCGCACTGCTGAGGAGTCTCATAATAGGACGAAACGGCCGTCCAGTGCTTCCAGGTTTTTGATGGTGGTCTAGCTTCAATTGACTCATGATTTCAACTGTGAAAAAAACAGTAATAGTTTAGAAACTGAAAGCACTGTTGACGCTGAGAAAATGGGTTACCTGAATTCGGAATAGAATATGTTTTGCAATGGGGAAAAAAGTTGTACTATCTACAAACATTAAGCCCACGGGATATTTTGATTCTACTTATAAATGACTGAATGGCTTAAATACTTTAATATTAACTGTTTTCCAAAACGATCAGATTTACTTAGGTTATATCCTTAAGTTGCTTATATCTAGCTACAAAACTCATTTTTAACGGAACTTATGACACTATTGTCCTGTCATTTTCGTAATGACTATGGTGTCGATCTAATTTAAAGCAAGGGTTATCATAGAGGCAATATGTTGAAAAACTGAAAGAAATGGATTAGTTAGTATGGTTTTGTACAGGGAAAACACGAAGTAGCCAATAATAGTTTAACATTTGTCAGGTATGAATAAGTAACCTGGTTAGGGTAAAATGACGTTAGGATTACGTATAACTTCATCTAAATATCTCACTGGTGACAAAATTCGAAAGTTATGCAGAAAATACTAAATGTCATGTAATGGAATAATAAACAACCAATCAACAACAACAATAATATGATCTCCACTGTTAAAGCTTTCAAAAGACCACAGAACTGTCGCTGGTCTGATCTAACCAAAGTAATTTTTGAGGAACTTAATATACAATGTTTTTTGAAGGTAAACACTGATTACCATCACAAATAAATACTCCTATATCTAGAATATAACTCTGCCTGTAGCTTCTCCGGAGGCTACTTCTGGTCACAAGCCCTGGTAAAGGAGGAGGGTTGGGCATGGGGTTAGCGACCCCATCCCGTAGAAAACCAGCTCTCTGAAAAAAACACCAATCAGAAAAAATTATTCAAACCATTTAAACTCTGCCCTGGGAGTTGAAGGAATAATTATGACGTCTCATAATGAAAGCCGAGTTCCTTCGGAAGTCATGAGGCCGATGCACCTTCTAACAACCAGAGCAACAATTTTTATAGGTACACGGAACGTTCGGACAATATGGGAGACCGGAAGAGTTTTCCGAATTGCTGCAGAAATGAGGAATTACAACCTGGAGGTGCTTGGAATCAGTGAAACACATTGGACTGAAGTTGGACAACAACGACTATCTTCTGGAGAGCTTCTGTTATACTCTGGTCATGAAGAAGAAAATGCCCTTCATTCATAAGGAGGTGCATTGATGCTGTCAAAAAAGACACAAAATGCACTTATAGGATAGGAATTTTATGGACCAAGGATCATCAAAGCATCCTTCAAAACAAAGAGAGAGGGCATTACAATGAACGTCATTAAATGCTATGCGCCTATCGACGACTTCGATGAAGACGCTAAAGACCAATTCTACGGTAGGCTGCAGTCGATCTTCGAGAAGTGCCCAACCAAGGACTTGACCATTCTGATGGGAGATTTCAATGCCAAGGTTGGAAAGGACAACGCTGGATACGAAGACGTCATAAAACGACGTGGACTGGGAGAAAGGAACGAAAATGGTGAGAGATTTGCAAACCTATGTGCCTTCATTAAACTGGTCATAGGTGGCACCGTATTCCCACACAAAAACATACACAAAGCCACTTGGATTCCATCGGATCACACTACACAGAATCAAATCGACCATATCTGCATCAACAAAAAGTTCAGGAGGACGATGGAGGATGTGAGAACCAGAAGAGGAGCTGATATAACATCCGATCATCATTTGCTGGTAGCCAAGATGAAACTAAAACTTAAGAAGCAGTGGACAACGGCGCGGACAATATCACAAAAGTTTAATACGGCTTTTCTTCGAGATACTGAAAAACTCAACAAATTCAAGACAGCCCTCAGCAACAGGTTCCAGGCCTTTCATCATCTACTCAATGGAGAGGGGACTACTATGGAGAGCAACTAGAAAGGGATAAAAGAAGCAATCATTTCAACATGTTAGGAGGTTCTGGGCCAAAAGAAGCACCATCACAAAGAATGGATCGCCGTTGGTACACTGGACAAAATCGAAGAAAGGAGGAACAGGAAGACAGCAATAAACACCAGCCGAACAAGAGCAGAAAAAGCTAAGGCACAAGCTGAATACACAGAAGCAAACAAGTAAATGAAGAGGATCATCAGAACCGACAAACGTTAATATGTGGAAGATTTAGCAACGACAGCGGAAAAGGCTGCAAGAGAGGGAAACATGAGACAACTGTATCATACAACAAAGAAACTTGCTGGAAATTATCGTAAACCAGAACGAACAGTGAAATTCAAGGAAGGTAAGGTAATCGCCAACATTGAAGAACAACAGAACAGGTGGGCAGAACATTTCAAAGAACTCTTGAATCGACCAGCTCCACTGAACCCACCCAACATCAAAGCAGCACTCACAGACATCCCAATCGATATTGGCCCATCAACAATTGAAGAGATCAGCATGGCCATCAGACAAATTAAGAGCGGCAAAGCAGAAGGACCAGACAATATTCCAGCAGAGGCGTCTTCGTGATGTTAGTCTGGCTGTAAAAGGTCGGATCTACAACGTGTCGGTGAGAGCAGTTCTGCTTTACGTTTGTGAAACCTGGCCTGTCCGAGTTGAGGATGTTATACGTCTCTCTGTGTCCGATCATCGTTGTCTCCGAAGGATTGCTGACATCCAGTGGCAACACAATGTTAGTAATGCAGAGGTTCGGCATCGTGTGTTCGGGCGCAGAGACGATAATTCAATTAGTGTCACCATCCTGAAACACCGACTTCGGTGGCTTGGATATGTATTACGAATTACGTCCCGGAGAATTCTACGTCGTGCATTATTTGCCGACTCTGGGACTGGTTGGAAAAAGCGGAGAGGTGGTCAGTGTATGACATGGTGTCGTGGTATGAAAGAAAGCTGCAAAGGGCTAGCTTCTGTTGGTCCTTCACGACTCCCTGGCTGGGTCCCGAGAGATGGTGCAACACAGTGGCTAGAGACGTTATCAGATATGGCTCAGAATAGAAGCCAGTGGCGAGCCTGCTGTAACCTTTTACTTTCTTCATAAAGAGTGGTTACAACTTTCGTAACTGAGAGTGTTCTTCTGGTTGTACATTTCAGCCCCCCTTTTTTCATCCTTTCTCTTTCTATTTTGATTGTTTTGTGTGGCGCATATATATCTGGTGCCCTTTTGTACCAATATGTATGTGTTTAAATAAAAATAAAAACTGAAAGCAGATGTAGCAGCAACTGCAAAGATACTTCACATTCTCTTCAGTAAGATTTGGGATGAAGAACAAGTACTAACAAACTGGAAAGGACTTCTGATCAAAATGCCAAAGAAAGGCGATCTCAGCAAGTGTGATAACTACAGGGGCATCACTCTTCTTACAATACCAGGAAACGTCTCTAACAGAGTATTGTTAAACAGAATGAAGACCTCCGTAGACGTACAACTTCGAGAACAACAGGCTGAATTCAGTAGGAATCGATCGTGTACAGACCAAATCGCAACTCCATGGATCATTGTGGGACAATCAACCGAATGGAATTCATCACTCTACATCAACTTCATTGACTACGAGAAAGCATAGATAGCATGGACAGGACAACACTATGGAGACTTCCTCGACACTACGGCGAGCCTGAAAAGATAGTCAATATCATACGGAATTCCTATGACGGATTAAACTGCAAAATCATCCATGGAGGACAACTCACAGACTCATTCGAGGTAAAGACCGGTGTTAGGCAAGGTTGCTTACTCTCACCCTTTCTCTTTCACCTGCTGATCCACTGGATCGTGAAGACGTCATCTGGAGGGAAGCACGGGATACAATGGACAGGTAGGATGTAGCTGGACGATTTAGACTTCGCAGATGATCTGGCTCTTCTATCACACACGCAACAACAAATGCAGGAGAAGACGACCAGTGTAGCAGCAGCAGGTCTCAATATAAACAAAGGAAAAAGCAAGACTCTCCGATACAATACAATATGCACCAATCAAATTACGCTTGACAGAGAAGCCTTGGAGGATATGAAAACCTTTGCACATCTGGGCAGCATCATCGATGAACACGGTGGATCTGATGCAGATGTGAGGGCGCGGATCGGAGAAGCAAGAACAGCATATTTACAACTGAAGAACATTTAGAACACAAAACAATTTTCAATCAACACCAAGATCAGAATTTTCAATACGAATGTCAAAACAGTTCTACTGAACGGGGCGGAGACGTGGAGAACTACGAAAGCCATCATCCAGAAGATACAAGTGGTTATTAACAGTTGTCTACGCAAGATAGTTCGGATCCGTCGGCCAGACACTATCAGCAACATTCTATTGTGGGAGAGAACAAACCAGATTTCAGAGGAAGAAGAAATCAGGAAGAAGCACTGAAAGTGGATAGGACACATTGAGGAAAGCACTCAACTGCGTCACAAGACAAGCCCTCACATGGAACCCTTAAGGCAAAGGAAAAGACGAAAACCAAAGAACACATTACGCCGAGAAATGGAGACAGACATGAGTGGATAGAAATCAGATAGAACTAGAAAGGAAGATCTAGGACAGAGTGGGTTGCAGAATGCTGGTCGGCGGCCTATGCTCCATTGGGAGTAACAGTCGTAAGTAAATATCTAGAATATACAGTAGGTTCGATGGTCTTAAGCTTACGCTAACTAACGTGACCGTCACTTAATACAACAACTCCTCGGTAATTATATTTGGCAAATGAACGTTGAAACTTTGGGGTTCTCTCCAGACCGGGGGAATTTTATGTGAACCATCTTTCACACGTTTCTATCGCAGCTCCCGCACCATTGTTACGACCCAATCTCCCGATTTTGGGAAATTTTCAAGACTTTGGGAAATCTTGGGATTTTTGTGTCACTTCCCCGAAATTTCCCTAAAACGGACGATATTTTGGGGAAGTTACACAAAAATCCCAAGATTTCCCAGTCTTGAAAATTTCCCAAAATCGGGAAATTGGGTCGTAACAATGGTGTCACACAAAACCGCAAACCCTAGAGTATCTTACTAAAAAACTACGTTATACCGTTTGATTACAAGTAGTTGCGAAGGCTGAAATATTACACTCGAATTAGTTGTGGCTATGATGTAGATCAAATTTAAGAATGTAATCACTTTAATGAGATAGAAATGTGGCGAGGATCGCAAAAAACTATACATCGTCAACAGATGTATTGTGAACACTTTGCTAAGGATGTTTTTTATATCCTATTGGCTGAAAACCCTGCAATCTAGGATATTTGAAACCCACCACGTGTAGCACAGTTCTTGAATAAGCCGCTTTGAAATTTCTTCAGTCCTCAGTAATAAGGATAGTCGGTTGGTGGACCTATGTTAATCCTGACAGTTTTCTTTTCATTGGAGTTCCAGCTTCTCCTTGAAAATGTTCTCTAATGAGGCTGATACCACTTGTTCGGGTAAGGCGTTCCAGACAATGACCAATCGATGAGAAAAACGGAACCCCATATTAATTTTATTAAATCGCGATTTATGAAACTTTTTGCTATAACCCCGAAGAATAATAGTGCTGTGGGGAGCAAAAAGATAGGATACATTTGCATCCAAATCGAAATTAAAGATACTAAATGCCAATATAAGGTCACTTCGCATCCTACGATACGACAAAGAGGAAAGGTTCTGTCGTTTTAAGCGCTCATCGTAAAAGATTTTGTAAAGACCATCCAGTAATTTTGTTCTCACGCTCTAAACTTGCTATAGTGAATCGGTATCCTTAATCATACGTTGGCCAGCTGCTTGAATACAGTGCTCTAATTATGGTGGTACATATGTGGTATATCAAGTTCGAAACATCTCGTCAAAGCATTTGAATGCTCGGCAAAGTGACCATGACACACGAAACGTTTTGGCAGCAGATGAGTTGCAAATAGTGGTTGTTTTCAAGTCGTTGCATACTACTACCCCATGGTTTTCATGTTCCTGCACGCATGGAAGAGATGTACCGTCAATATTATACTGGTAACTATTACTGTGTCCGATATGCGTGAGCACACTCTTTCTAGAACTAATCCATAAGCCCCGAAATCGGTCCCATCCAACTAATTCGTCTAGATCAGCTTGAAGATCGAAATGCTCGGCCTCACTTCTTATCGTTCTCCAGATTTTGACACCATCCGCTAACAATAATATGAAGGAATTAAGCAATAGCAGTAATTCGTTGACGTAGAGAAGAAGTTGGGGACCAAAGATGGTACCTATGGGCACTCCATTTTCGACCGGCTTCCATCTAGACAGCGTCCAATTAAGCATCATTCTTTATCTACAGTCACATAAGAATTTTCCTATCTATTGGTGTACAGCACCTGTTATTTTGAAGCTCAAGAACTTCCGCCTATGACCTAAGTGTGAAACCTTGTCTAACGCTTTGCTTAAGTACATGAATATTACGTAGGCAGACAGACCATTATCTAAGGCTGCCGTCCAATCCTCTCTTACGATAAGTAAGTTAGTCAAGCATGGATGTTTGTTTCGAAACCCGTACCGCTCTAAAGTTAACAGATTGTACAATTCTATGTGACTTAGTAACTTGACACAAATTATTTTTTTAAGTAACTTAGCGACTATGCTGGTCAGACTGATGGATCGGTAGTTAGACACGATCTGTCTCTGACCACTCTTAAATATGTGGCCGACTACAGTATCTTCCAAAGTGTGGGAAAGGGAAACGTTTAAGAGCATCGCGGTTTGTCTTCAAATAATGTCCGTGACGGATGACAGTGATCGACGATGTAGCCCATCAGGTCGCCCTATCTTACAAGGACTGAGGCCAGTGATCAATTGAAGAACGAGGTTACTCGCATACGTGACCAGAAAGAACGACTGGTTATACTATATTTCGATATTAAGAAAGTCTTTGATAAAATACCTCATAATCTTCTTGTTATAACTTGTGGCCGAGTGGATGTCTTGATATCATATGACGCGTTAAGACTGGCAATCAGAGAGCAGCGAATTAACAAGTAGGACCTACCTCTGATGACTTAAAAGTTATCTATAAAACTGGCATTTGCAATGTGCGTGGTACTATGCAAACGATCCAACATGAACTCAACATGGTGGACACCTGGTGCAAACGATGGAACTTGAAGCTCAACACAGAGAAATGTGGCTGACTTAGTATTGGAGACACATCTCTTAAAATAGAAGTAACACTTAACAAGAACTCACTGCCAAAACTTACATCAGTAAATGACCTAGGGGTATAGTACTCAGACATTCTTAACCTCTCCGAATCTATCTCAACCAAAGTATCTTGGCTTCATTCTTCGTAATTCCTTTCAAAATGTATCCAAAATCATTCTTTATAAATTTTGTGTAAGATATATCGTCGAATACTGTTTGTTCTTATTTTCCAACCTCCGCCTATACTACATACTTAAGAAAGAAATAACACAACGATATTTCACCCGCAAAATACTTAAGACCGACCCACTCATTGACTACAGTTCCTGATGCCATGTCTTGGGACCAAAATATATTTGGAAAAGAAGGTTTTGGCCTAATTTGATTCTTTATTTCAAACTCTTTAAAAACCTTACTTATTCCACATGTTATATAGTTCTTGTCCAATACTCACATGAATACAACTTTCGAGACATAGTATCCACGGTCAAAGTTGCGAAATACAGATCAAGAACTTGGGAAAACTTTGTCCTCATAAAGTTTGATTTAATATGGAACAGTTTTCATCTGAAATATACATGGCAAACGAATTACATACGTTTGTAAGACTTATTGATCAATCCCTCACTTGCATAGATACAGCAAAAACGAACACATCCGCGTCCCACTCAGACATTATAGGCTTTGTACATATATAGACCAAATCGCTTGATTCTCCTACTTTGTAGTTGTATTAGATACTTTTCCCTCCCCAATTTTTTAAACATTGAAGTAGACAGGTAACTCACTGGACCTCTCAATACTCGGTCGCTAAAAAACGCTCAAAATCACCCTAAAAAGTCTACAGAAATGCACAATCGACTGGCTACTAGAAATGGTCTTACATCTATGGAACCTGCTCTTCATCAAACGGTTAGGACAACACAAAATAACATCAGCACCGAATTCATGTAAGTTCCTTCTTGTCTATTCTTTATCAGCTTTTTACTCCCTTGTACACTATGTTGCCTTGCTATTAATATTATTTGACCACTCGTTACCTTATCTGCAAGAAATATATTTCTATAATTTTCTGCCAACTGAGGTTAGTAACTATCCTACATTATACCCTTCTTAATGCCTATACTCTGATTGGCAACCAGTACTTCATACTATAGTCAATTAAAGCACTGCATCGAAGCCTTACCCACAGTCCATAATTCATAACTGTTTGATAAGCGTGTAAAATGGTACTTATAGAAATAGTGTTTTACGACAGGATGTGAGGCACAGAACATTGTGAGGCAATATATATAAAAAAACAAGCCTGAATGAGCCTAACATCACAAAAGGAGGGTGGGTGGAGTTTCTGACCAGCAACCATTGATGGTGAGAGCGGTGACATCAATCCACCCATGTTTGTGGAGCAGAGCACTTTGTATCAGGCTTTTTGTGGATGGGAGCAAGTCAATCAATTTGTGATATTGAGGTTGTTCTCCTACGTTCACCATTCAGACTCATGTTTCTAATTTTACGCTGGATTAGTTATTCTACTAAGACAACGCATGACATGCCAACTCAGACATTTATATTAAAACCGCGTGGTAGGCATCGGAAGGAAAAAAGGCAATAACATATATGGTTATTAATTTCCTTAACGCTTCACTATCTATATGCACTCTCTGTTCTAATAAACAGCTTTCCTTGTTCCAACCTTTATTTCCTTTCCTTCATTTGAACTTACTCCACCTTGATAAATATCACAAATCATTGTTCTTTATTACTACATTTTCTTACCTGGAGCCTCTGATCACATTTCACACTAACCACAAGAGCTACTATGAATTTAATCTAATAACTAATCAAACCTCTGTCTGTTCCACCACAAAATTAGGCATTGTTTATCGTTCATATCCAAATGCCTTGATGCTCTATGGTTTCTTCTTTTTCCGCAGAACCTTGCTATGACGGCAAAGCTATGGAACTTCTGACAGCTGGAACAAACTCGACGTACGCGTTTTCCCAAGGTCATGGTTTACACCAAGCGCTCTACAAATCTACTTTATAACAACCATAAACTTAAAAAGTTATATTGCATAAATACTTAACAAGACTAAAATTTTGCCGAGATTGGATCTGGTATGTAACATAGACGCGATTCTACTGTAGAAAATATTTTGAAGACTATACAGTATATCTGAACGAATGGACTGATATTCACGTATATACATTATATTTACAAAACGACCCTGCTTGGGATGGATACAGTGAGCCAATAAATGTTGTAACTTGTAGATCATGCCTGTAAATAAATTGCGTGTACCTGCCCTTGCAGAAATATATTATTATTATTATTCACATAAACATGTCCTGTAGCTGGTATTTCGGCGTGATTAGGATAAATATTTTTAACAATACACGAAGAGAAAACTTCACTGAAATAGTTCGATGACGTCTCAGCATTTGTCAGATGTGATTCAGCCATAAATTCAAATTTCCGTGTAACAGTGATGAGAGAATCCCATCACTACGTTTTGTTTTCCGTTCAACGTACTAAAACAATCGTTTCGGTCAAGTACGTCTATCATACGCCAACTGTCCTTCGTAAATAGCACGGCATCTAGCTACGATGTTTAACATATATTTTGGAGTTTTCAGAAATAACGCTTAAATGATTCCGATCCCATTGACAAAAATGAGTCCCAAAAGTGTTTCGTATGCTTCAAAAACTTACAAGTTTTCTTATTAATCCATGGAGGACAATGCGATAACTTACCTGGTGACCATGTGGTAAATGGTGATGTTACGTTCTCTAATAATAATAATAATTTATTCTCAAATAACAGATTGTTACATAAGGCATGCCGGTTTACAGGCAAGATCAAATTGTTAAAGAAGTTACAATTTTCACTGTTGAAAATTACTCAGCTGGGTTGATATTTCATAAGATATGAATGTAAATGGATTTCGTAAAAAACATATCAATATCACACTTGGCGCACTTTACGGAGGTAGCGTTGCAACATACAACTGATGGTCGAGAATAGATACATGCGAAGTTGGGGGATTTTAGAAGCTTCGAACTTATATCCTTCCGGAATATCTGAGGCTTTAATAACGGTGTAGGGCGAAGTCACCCGTGCCATATCTGTTTTCGGTGGAGTATCTGCAGGA